CGACACGTAGAACTCCTGGGTGCACACCTGACTGCCTATGCGGACCTCTAGGGTGGCTCTCCCCAGCAGCCCCATTCCGGCTCCGCTCGCCGTGTGCAGCGCGCGGTCCGGTGCCTGCAGGTGACGCACGTCGACCCCGATCGCGCTGCAGTGCGCTGCGCTCACGAGCGAGGCCACCGCCCCCGTGTCCAGCAGGATTCGGGTACGCACTCCGTTAACCTCCCCTTCCACCAGCGACGTGGCCCCCGTGATCCCCGCCACCAGCTCCCGTAGCCAGTCGCCAGGAGTCACCGTTTCCGTGGGCGTTGTTGCTGGAACCTGTGTGGAGATCACTCGCTCGCCATTATTCTCATTATCGTCCATTTGTATCGGGACCGCGTCGATTGCACCCCTAGTTGGTCCGCTCTCTAGGGGGCGTTGGAGTTTTAACCCCCGCGTCTGTCTCGCTCGGGTGATTTCAGGACAGTCCCTCACTAGATGCCCTCGGCGATCGCACATATAACATGCCCGGGGAGGGGGGGCGGTTCCGTAGCGGGTCCCCTGTCCGCTCCCTCCCCCCCCATTACGCCGCTGTCCACCCTCCGCCTCTAGTCGGGCTACCCTCCCAGATAACCCTCCCACCGTGGCGCGTAGGTCCCCCATTTCGGATCGGATGGTCTCAACGGAGGATTGCAGTTTGGTCATATTTTTATTTGCTTCCTCGCGTACCTGGGTTACCCTTTCACCTACGTGAGTTACCCTCTCACCTACTTGGGTTATCATATCTCCCATGCCGGCCTGTAACCCGGCTACCCACCCCGGGGTCGTCTCGCTGGGTCTCTGTGGCTCTCTTTCCCGGCCCCTTACCGTCCTCGCGAGCTCCTGTCCCTCCTCCTCGTCTTCCGAGAGCAGGCTCGCAATGGCGCGCTCTCGTCCCAGCCCCCGGAGCTGCGCGCGTTCGCTGTGAATTCTTTCACACTTACGTGCGCGCTCGACAAGGGTGTTAAACGGAAGACGTGGGCAGCTCATGTCTGGCTGCCACCACGCCGTGCGAGACAGGTACCGCTGGATTTTCTCGGCGGCCAGTTCCTCAATAACATCAGTTGCGTACCCCGGGCGTGCGATCTTTGTTAACTCACGCACATCCTCGGCGTAATCACGTAGATCTTCGCCAGGTTGGCGCCGGCGCGCCTCTAAGGCCGATTTTGCTTCCTCCTCGTCACGCGTGCCAAAACGCTGATCGAGTCGGCGCATCAGCTCCTCTAGCTGTGTCTGTGCGCTCGCGGGTAACGCTTCTACAAAATCGGCTGCCCGCCCATCAAGATTCATATTAAGTTGACGTACTGCCTGCGCGTCCGTCCATCCATTAATTTCCTTGGCCCCTAAGAGATTGCGGGCGAATGCCTTCCACGAAGGGGCCCCCCGGCCGGTAAATATTAGTCTTATTTTAGCGTGAGGTAACGCGGGGGTCCGTACCGCTTCTGACACCAATTTGTGGGGGTCGCTAGCCCCCGAGATCCCTCCCTCGATAATGTTAACGGCCGGGCTAGCATCATCAATCGCCCCCCCGCTGCTAAGCGAACCGCTGCTAAGTTCCTCACCCATGGGGTGGGAGCCGTCGCCCGAGGATTCCACTCCACCGCGGGTCCGCGTAGCAGGCATGGTTAATTACGTACGCGCACACCCACACACACAGCTCCGTACGGCACTCACTCTTGCGCTTCTCTGCGCCGCGCTGGCCGCTCACGTTACAATCGCGCACCTGGGGTACGCCGATTTCGCACGACGAGAGCTTACGCCTACACCGTACTACACGCGTTCACACTTATAACACGTAACGAGCACACGCAAGCGGGGCACACGCCGACACAACGACTAAAGTCGCCGCCGCCGTGCGCGCGAGATAAACCGTACAACAATGCGCAGCCGATTACGCTATGATCGCGCACCTGGGGGACGCCGATTACGCACGCTGCGAGCTTACGCACACACAGTACCACACGCGTTCCCACACGCTCACACTGCACGACAAGATCACGCGAGACCACGCTTCGCTATTAATGATTTATTACCTGATAACTAATGTTGAATTAGTGAGTCGACGAGGCTGGCCTATTCCACTAAACCGGCACCTATTCCCTATTTATCGGCTATGATTCTAATTCCCCTTCTTACTCACTGTTAAGTGTCCACGGCGGTCCGCTGATCCTTGTGTTAACCGCGTGCCTCGGTGCGTCGCACGGACGTCCGGGTCGCTGGCTCGAGCTGCGTCTGGTCGCCTGGCGCTGGAGTAAGAGAGCGATTTCCCCTCTGCGCTCCTCTATTTATCCTCCCTACCTCCCAAAGGGGATGCTGCGCTGAACAATGGGCTCGTGCACCCCAAGCCCGCGCACGGCAGTCCCCAGGCGCTGTTGATATGCTAATCAGTGTGCTGCGTGCAAGGCGTAAATCCTAATTACTCCCTTACCCTTCCTACCAATGGGGCTTGCGCGCTCAAGCGCAATTATCCCAACCCTCCATGACTATGCGCAACAGCCCCTGTGACCCCGCTATTCATGCTGTCCCGTGCCTCCCCTGCTCGCCCCGTCGACCCGTGGGAGTGTGTGTGGGGGGAAATGCGCCTCAACCGCGGTGGCCGAATGCCCCACGCCACGACCTACCATATTAAGGCCGGCCGCAGCGCCGCGGTGCCACGTAGCACGGGGAGGTCATCCAATTCCCTGATCGCCGGAAACCGTGAGAATTAATCCCGATAAGGGTCTCTCGGATAAAAACCGGTCGATCAGGTGACCTTCCCTTCCAGCTCTATGGGGGGGGGGGAATGCGTGCGGGTGTGTGCTTATGTGGGGCGGGTGATGGGGGGCAGTGCGGTGGGGGAAGCCGGGCGGCTCCCTGGTTCGGCAGAGCGGCCCCGTCGTTGTGGCACCACACACACTCTAGCGTGCGTGTGGGTACGGCAGCTGTGTGTGTGTGTTTGCGCCGGACACACCACTCGCACCTGTGCTGGGCCTCCCACCTGCGGCTACACACGTGGCCGCGAGTGCACGGGGATTAGCTTCAGAACCATCTAACACACACACACCTTCACTCCCTCCCACGTTAACAGCGGAGCAGCGTTACGAGTCGATTAAGTAGGGCGAGAACTTGTCTTATATTCATTGGGAGCGCCTTAGATCAAGGCGCTCTCTCCATAGCAGAGTTTATAGTGGTAACAAATATAGATTATGCATTAGAAAAAAAGTATTTCACAAATCTGGCTGTCGCCTGATGAAGCTAGTTGTAATTACTGGCGAAACGTCGTACGCAGATTGGAAATGTTGTGGCTTGGGTCTCCAACACACCGGTGTGCTGAACTAGTAGCGGGTTTAATGACACATTAATATTTACGCGATCTAACCCAAACCCCCCCCCCCCCCCACATCACAGATAACATTAGTCGCGAAAGCCTTCCACGCGTTCAGCAGTCGAAAAGAAATTCGTTTTCAGTCTAGGTTTTGAAAAAACGAGCGGTTGAGATGGGCAGGGCCAGTGATAGGGAATCCTCTCTCTCTCGGAGCGATAGAGGATCAACCGGGGTGACGAGGAGACGAGTGGCGGGGATGGGGGACAATCATTGGACGACGCCGTCCTTCGCGCTTCCGGCCTCGCGAGGGCCAACTGTGGCCTGCGGGTCCCGCGGAGGACGCACCGACTCGCTGCGGAGTCGCGCGCGGTGCCCTTCCGTGCCCGCCACCGCTTGTAAGTCACGGAACAGACGAGCGCTGCCATCCATGACGCGTCGGCAGTGGTGCACAGAGCACAATCAGCCGACACGACACGCCGAATCAACAACGCCGCGTGCGTGCTACGCGTCACCGGTGACGCGTCGATGACGCGTCGGCAGTGGTGCACACGGCACAATCAACAACACAACGCGACACTTTCGATTTAAAGCTTTCGTGACTGCAGGGATTCATCTTCTTGGTTCTTTCGGTAAAGTCACGTAGAATGGAAATAATAAAATAATAAAACATAATAAAATAATTCTCACGACGTTTCAGACCTGGTCTTCACCTGAGGACGGCTGCTTGCGTTGTGGCCGAAACGTCGTGAGAATTATTTTATTGTTTTATTTTATTATTTTCATTCTACGTGACTTTACCGAAAGAACCAAGAAGACAACGCGACACGTTGGAGCGAACAACACCGCGTGCGAGCTACGAAGGCCTGTTGCCCGAAACGTCCACTACTGTGCAGTCTTCCTTTCAAGGCCGCAACGGCGTTATGGACGAACCCGTTGAGTTTTGCTTCCGAATTAAATTCACCTCGACTCGACGCGTCCCATGGCTTAAGGCACCCGCGTGTTCAAACCCGGCAGTCATCACGAGCGCGCATTCACGCTCGAGCTTTGGTTGCCACCCGTCCTGCTTTCCCCCGGGATCGTCCTCATGCTCAGGGGCAGCTCGCAGCGGCTGCTGCTGCTGCTGCACGTGGTGTGGGAGCGTTTCTCAACGCGCCGATTGTGACCGTTTCGCCTCATCCACCCACTCACTGAAACCACACATCCACTCACTCACCCACCCACTCACTGAAGCACTCACTCACCCACCCACACATCCACTCACTCACTCACTGAACCACTCACTCACTCACCCACTCACTGAACCCACACATCCACTCACTCACTTAACCACTCACTCACTTAACCACTCACTCACCCACCCACTCACTGAACCACTTACTCACTGGACCACTCACTCACCCACCCACACACTCACTCTCCCACTCACTCAACCATTCACTTATCCACTCACTGAACCCACACATCCACCCACTCACTCACTGAACCACTCACTCAGCCACTCACTCACTCACCCACCCACACACTCACTAAACCATTCACTTATCCACTCACTCCTCCCCTCACTAACCCACTAACTCATCCACTCTCACTGAACCACTGACTCACCCACTCACTCACTCACTGAACCACTGACTCACCCACTCACTCAACCACTCACTGGTTAAGTTGCAGAACAATTCTCACAACCAATTTTAGCAGCGATTATATTCGCGACGTTTCACTTGAAATTGCATCAATCATCTTCAGGACACGATCCAGGAAGTCATAATAAAGGATTCTTTCTTCCGACTTACTGGGTTTTATTACCAGAGCATGCTTTTGTTGGCATGTTCACCACAAGTACGTGTGGTTAATGCGGACACGATTCCTTTCAAAAGGTTTCTGTTTGGTGTTTGAACATCTTAACACCTCCTGTTTTATTGCCAGAAAGGGTAAAAGCTATTCTTCAACTGGGTTTCACTTGTTGTGATCGTGGTGTGGAGAAGACTGCGGTGAGGAGGTTATGGTGAGGTGGTCCTGGTGAGATCGTGGTGAGGTCGTGGTGAGGTGGTCGTGGTGAGGTGGTCGTGGTGAGGTCGTGGTGAGGTCGTGGTGAGGTCGTGGTGAGGTCGTGGTGAGGTCGTGGTGAGGAGGTAGTCATGGGAAGAAGGTGGTCGTGGTGAAGTGACCACGGTGAGATCACGGTGCGGAGGAGTTCCTGATGTGGAGTAGATTGTGGTGAGGTCACGGTGAGGCGGTCCTGGTGCAGGGTTCATGGCGAGCAAGTGGTCATGGTGAGGTGGTTGCGGTGCGGTGGTCGTGGTGAGAACATGGTGAGGAGGTAGTCGTAGTGAGGAGAAGGATGAGGAGCTCGCGGCGCGTGACCCCCAGCCGCGTGCTACTTGAGGGCGTGCACGGCGTAGTTCACGTCCGTGGAGTCACTCCAGCGCCAGCTGCCCCGCAGGGGGCTGTAGGTCATCCCGCGCAGCTCCACCAAGCTCAGCCCGTCTGCAAGAACAGGGCCGTCGGGGAAACCGCCGCGGCCACGACCCGCCATCGTCACGACGTTCCCCACCCCCGACAAACGTCACCACTCTTCTTTTAACAAAGAGGCAACACATTTTCCCCGCCAATGTGTTCGCGATCACGCCAATATCGGAGTCGTCGCGTCCTCGTTGTTATCGTCGTCGTCATCGTCGTCCTCCTTGTCATCGTCGTCATCGTCGTCGTCATCGTCGTCATCGTCGTCGTCGTCGTCGCGACACCGAGGAGGATCCGGTCAGAAATGTCGTGGAGCGACGCGCGACCCGACCGAGGCGTTGATGCTCATCTCCCGTCAACAGCCCTGAGCCAGCGGTGGGAATTCCCTATTCCTATGGCAGGGGGCGAAGGTTATCCAGAGGACAACCGCCGTTGACAAGCCAAGGTCGTGCGATTGTGGCCGTGCAGCCCAAACTACGGACCGCACAGTAAACCCACCGCGGTCTGCCCTCCTTTAACGGAGGAGGAACAGTGACACGACACGAACTCTCTCTCTCTGCTGAAGCCCTCGCGTCGTGGCCAGCAGCAAGACCTCGACATTGACATCGAGCTCTGCTGCCGTATGGCGCAAAACCAGAACAGAACCACTGTGGGAATTTCCCCGCAAATTGGCACTGATTTTATCGACCCTTTAGGGATGATAATGACGATGATGGGCTTGGGTCAACACCTCTCCAGCAGGAGCTTTGAACCCGCGGCCTCACGACTGCCGCTCGCTCCCTACCGGCCGAGCCGCCCGCGACCGGTGCCACGGGACGGGCACCGGGTGCCGAGCGGAAGCGGCGGGAATGCGACGGTGGCGACGGTGGCGGTGGTGGCGGTGGTGGTGGCGGTAGTGCCGGGGTTGCCACTCACTCTCCTCCAGGGCGGAGCGCACGGAGCGCGGCTCCACGAACGACTCCCAGGCGTGCGTGCCACGCGGGACGATCCGCAGCAGCCACTCCGCCGCCACGATGGCGAAGGCAAAGGAGGCCGCCGTCTTGTTGATGGTCGTCAAGAAGAGCGAACCCCCGGGCTGCGGGCGGGTGGGGGGGGGGTAGGGCGGAGGGGAGGCGAGGAGTCCCGTGTTGGGGAGAGCACGTGGAGCGGACGGAACGTTCCCGGCGGACACGTCGGACGTCGAGCAGCACGACGCGCGGCACAAAGCAAACGAGCACGGGGGGAGGGCGATCAATGGCTATGCTGGGTGATGCCATGTGGTGTGTGTGTGTGTTGAACTTCTTTGGCACCGTACGTATCCAGCCGTGCTAATCGGAGGTGCGGGTTGGTTCCGAGTGTTCACCCGGGACGGCCTCGCCGAGTCTCAAGACTCTTTTTCAGGAGGGTCCTGCCAAGATGTTCACATTAGGGGGCGGGTGGATGTCGCCGCTGCTGCTGCTGCTGCTGCCGCCGCTACGCGATTCCAACTGATTAACTTTTAGGTAATTTCTTAGCAACGGGCGGTGTTGTTCTTTGGCCACCACCAGCTCCACTGCGCGCTTTCATTTTAGGTATGCGAGGAGAGAACCGGAGAACCCCGAGCAAACCCATGGAGAACAGGGGGAGAACACACAGACTCCGCGCCGAGAGACGCCCGAGACGCGGCATCGAACCCGGGTCCTTCTTGCTGTGGGGCACGAGCGCTGCTGCTACGCCACCGTGAGAGAGAGCGCAGGAGCGAGACAGGGTGAGTGGGTGAGAGGTACAGAATGAGAGAGTGAGAGTTAGAGAGGTAGTGAGTGAGTGGGGGATAGAGAGCGTGAGAGAGCATGGGAGAGAGGTAGAGAGTGTGAGAGGGTGTGAGTCTGTGGCAGTGTCCGAGAGAAGGAGAGTGGGAGAGCGAGAGCGCGGGAGAGCGTGGGAGAGCGTGGGAGAGCGTGGGAGAGTGTGGGAGAGTGTGGGAGAGCGTGGGAGAGCGCGGGAGAGCGCGGGAGAGCGTGGGAGAGTGTGGGAGAGCGCGGGAGAGCGTGGGAGAGTGTGGGAGAGCACGGGAGAGCGTGGGAGAGCGTGGGAGAGCGTGGGAGAGTGTGGGAGAGTGTGGGAGAGTGTGGGAGAGCGTGGGAGAGCACGGGAGAGCGTGGGAGAGCGTGGGAGAGTGTGGGAGAGCGTGGGAGAGTGTGGGAGAGTGTGGGAGAGTGCGAGAGAGTGTGGGAGAGTGTGGGAGAGCGCGGGAGAGTGCGGGAGAGTGCGAGAGAGTGTGGGAGAGTGCGGGAGAGTGCGAGAGAGTGTGGGAGAGTGTGGGAGAGTGCGAGAGAGTGTGGGAGAGCGCGGGAGAGTGCGGGAGAGCGTGGGAGAGCACGGGAGAGCACGGGAGAGCACGGGAGAGCACGGGAGAGCACGGGAGAGCGTGAGAGAGCACGGGAGAGCGTGAGAGAGCGGCAGCAGCGAGCATCTCACCTTGACAAGGCGGCAGCAGCAGGCGATGAAGGCGGCCGGGTCGTGGACATGTTCCACCACCTCGGACGCCACCACCGCGTCAAACACCGGCCCCTCGCGCTCCGCCAGATCCTCCACCGTGTCCACCTCGTATCTACAGGTTCACCACCTTGTCAACCTCGGAGGTACACGTGGGCTGTGCCACCCAGCTAACTCCACCGGCGTCCGGTCACATCCCAGGTCAACTCCAAGATTGCACACTCACCGTTACCACACCCTCCATGGCCTCGCCCCTCCCACCTCACTCTACTCCTCACTCACCTCACTCTCCGCCTCTCCCCTCTCACCTCACTCTGCTCTCCTCCACGTGCGCTCTCTATTCCAGCAGCCAAAGCTCTACGTCCACCTTCGCTCAGTGGGAGGTCACTCATTCCACCTTCACTTCGACTCCCTGCCCCCGCTCTAGTCCAGGCTCAAGGTTTCCCGTTGCGCTTCTCGCCGACGGGCCGCTATAAAACCGATGCGCCTGCCGTCTGCGTCCTGCGTCCCGAGACGCGGCCGCACTGAGACGCAGGGGGGGCGAGGCCACGCGGGACCTCGAGGTCGGCGAGTTCGCGATCTTGAAATCGACCCGGGGATTCGATCGCGTCGTCACGGCCACACGTACCGGAGGCGCGACGCCAGCTGGGGGTCGGAGCGCGCGTGGACGCGTGCCGTGCCCACGTTCTCCTCCAAGGGGTCGATGCCCAGAACCGTGGCTCCGATCCTGGCCAGCGGCTACGCACAACGCAACAGACGGACGGACGATGGAATCATACCACTCCGCAGCGTTACCGCGATCGCACCATCGGCGTCGCGTCGTCACGACACGGAGAATCCATTCGGAAATCTCGCAACAGCGGTGCACAGGGCTGCCCAGAGTAAGGAGGGCACAAGGGATGATTTTACGTACTAAACAGGCCTGGTTTTTTTTGTCGCTGATGTATAATTTGGCCGCACGTGGCCTCCTGCCCTGGGCCACCTCCAGGAACCTTGGGGCGGGCCTGGCGATGCATCGGCCCGCGTGCTAGCGAACAGCCCACAGAAGAATATATAACGGTCCTGCTTCTGAATCTGTGTGAGTGACACAGCACTGAGCCAAGAACCGCTGAGATTCTGAGCCAGACTTTGAGGCACGCCACCGTGACTGAACCGGGTTCTCAAGCGTCGTGAGTTTACGGTCTCACTGTAGGCCAGAAATTACTTCGCAAAAATTACGCGAGTGGTTCTTCCCAACCAAGCGAGTAACCGATCAAATTTGGCAACGTTGGACCGTGACGCTGACGCACACACGGCCAACTAATCCGTTTAGAATATCGTCAAGATTCTTTATCGTGCTCACTGTGCAGCTGTTGGTCCTTTTACGGTAATTATTACACCCCCGAGTATTAACCAGCACGGCCACTGGGCTCGAACCGAAAGTGTCTGCAACAAGCGGCGAACGGGCAACCGCCTGGCCTTGTCGCTGCACTCAAATCGATCGTGGAGGTGGCCACGGGGTCACAACCACACAACAATAATCACTTTTTCGCCCAGGGGGGCCACACTCGAGCCTGAAGGAGGGTCCCGCTACAATGGGACGCTTAGGCAGCACCAACGGAAGAAGCTCGAAAAAACCCATGCAGAACAGGGGGAGAGAATGTACAAAGCCCACACCACAGAGAGGCGCCCGAGTCGGGAATCGAACCCAGGGCCTTCAAGCTGCGAGGCACGAGTGTTACCACCGCGCCACCGTGCTGCAGTGGTCGCAACACGGGTACCCGATACCCGTACCCTACCCGATACCCGGCTACCCGTACCCAGCCGGGTACGGGTACAGGTAGCCGTTTGCGACCCTGGTGCGGCCGGGTACGGGTACGGGTAAGGAATCAAAACCCGTTTGCAACCTCTGCCGTGCTGCCCCCAAATCTGCGTGAGAGGTGAGACCCCAGTGTGTCAGTGTAACCCCCCCCCAATTGGGGGGAGGGGGTGTGAGGTGGCAGGGGGGTCAGTGTCGACCTCGCATAGCAGGCCCCCTCCGCAGCCCACGTCCAGGATGCGGAAGCCTTTGAGAGGTAGCGCGCCACGGGTTGGGGCCTCGGCACCCAGCAGCCCGTCCCTACGGGACACACGGATAGACACGCGACCCGCGCGGTGTCACCCGCGGTTGAAGAGGTGGGGGGTGATCATTGGTAACGATCGTCATCACGTGGAGCTCAACTCGGCCACGGTGGTGCTGGTTTTTTTTTTTGCAAACGCTGCTGCGACGGACGAAGAAGATGGAACGAAAACGGGAAAAGTGCGCCAAGAAGCACGAGGAGATGCTGCATTTGGAGGAGCACCTGGATTGGAGAGAACATTGCAATGTTAACATTGACATCACCCGGACTGTTATGAAAATTGAGTGGGCTTGGGCAGGGCGCGTTTCGAACGGGCCGATGGTCAAGAACAGTAATGGAGTGGTGGCAGAGGAACAGAACGTGTCCGACAGGATGTTCGACGGGGAGATGGAGCGACGAGATCGGCTCGCGCGCAAGTGCCGGGGCGGATCGCTGCATCGCCGGGGCATTGAAGACACGGGTAGGCCTTCATCCGGCAAACATTTCTCCGCGCGGCGCTTCTAAACCCCTCGTTGAGCGGCCGTCGCCACGCCGCCGGGGGCGCGGAAGCGTCGTGCGCGCGAGTGCTGAACTTAGGCGGCACCTGATGAGGGGCACGCGGAGCGAGTTGAGGCTGTGCAGGGCACCCAGCTCCCCTCGCTCGTTCCACCACGTGTGGGCTAGGGCTTGGAACTTGGCCAGCTCGTGGGGGTTCACGCTGCTGGACTTGCGCTCCGCGTCCCCTGTGGCCTCCGTCGCGAGCCCGCGGGATCTGTCCAAGGGAAACGCAAAGACAAAGAACCCCCGCGTAGCCATTGACAGACCGTCGGGGCAAGTGCTGTTCGTGAGAACCTACGAAGGCCGGCGCGGCACAAAAGGGGGCGGGCGGCCAGCACCACGCCCGGCCGCCTTTGTCTCCCCAGTGCTGATTTTTTCACACACACCCCAACAAATAATTATTTAAGGCTGATCCGACCTACGGCAGGCCCAGGACCGGTTCAAATATTCGTCACCGATGTTGGCTGTGAATGAGGGCTCTGGCCACACTGGGTTGGTTGTGAGCGTTGTCCGACCGCGACTCATCAGCGGTGCGGTGGAACATCGCACGAGCGTTTGTGAAACCCCCGTATGGCGTCGAAGAGGTGCCATAACCTGGCTTACCACAAAGCAGTCCAGCAAGTGGACTAATCGCCACCTGTTTCCATCTGTACGGGGGGTGGGGTTGTTATAGAGTGCTGCTGCCTCCCTCTGCGCGAGTGGGTTTTCTCCGGGTGCTTCCGTTTCCTCCCACTTGTAAACGCTGGCGGAGCCAGTGGGGGGGGTGGCACGTGTCGATTCCTGAAAACGAACCCGCTGCTTCCAAATCGCCAAAGCCTCGTGAAAGGCGGCCACGGGCTCTACGAGGCGATGGGCAACGCGTGTTGTGACTGATCTATAGTCCACGATGTAACTCAGTGCCGGATCATCCAAGTAGCAAACGTAGCATATGCTACGTGCCCCGCACTAAATGCTTTCAAGCTATCAATTCCGGTTCAGTGATTCTGCACTTGCTCTATTACTATAGTACTATACCGCCTTCAACTGTTATGAACGACCGGGTGTTTAAGGTTAGCGATTTGTCGTATTATCTGGCTGTATAGCAAATGAAAAATACAATTACTTTACAATGCACGTGAAAAATGTATGTGTTTTAATATTTACATTTTTTTTATTTATAACATATACCACACAGGCCCCGCACTAGATGAATCTGGCAGCTATTTCTCTCGAGACTGGACCACGACGTGGACAAGTGATCAATAAAGTGTCAAATGCCCGCTGGCGGGAGGTCGCGGGACCCAGGTGGTACCATGGGTTGACTGCTATGCCAGGCTAGGTGCAGGAGGCGGTAACAGGACAGGCTCAGCAGGTGCCATGGGTTGACTGCTGTGCCAGGCTAGGTGTAGGTCATGGGACAGACCCTGCAGGTGCCATGGGTTGACTGCTGTGCCAGGCTAGGTGCAGGTCACGGGACAGGCCCTGCAGGTGCCATGGGTTGACTGCTGTGTCAGGCTAGGTGCAGGAGGTCACGGGCCAGACCCAGCAGGTGCCATGGGTTGACTGCTGTGCCAGGCTAGGTGCAGGAGGCGGTAACAGGGCAGGCTCAGCAGATGTCATGGGTTGACTGCTGTGCCAGGCTAGGTGCAGGAGGTCACGGGACAGACCCAGCAGGTGCCATGGGTTGACTGCTGTGCCAGGCTAGGTGCAGGAGGAGGCTGCGGGACAGACCCAGCAGGTGCCATGGGTTTGACTGCTGTGCCAGGCTAGGTGCAGGAGGTCACGGGACAGACCCAGCAGGTGCCATGGGTTTGACTGCTGTGCCAGGCTAGGTGCAGGAGGTCACGGGACAGACCCAGCAGGTACCATGGGTTGACTGCTGTGCCAAGCTAGGTGCAGGTCACGGGATAGACCCAGCATGTACCATGGGTTGACTGCTGTGCCAGGCTAGGTGCAGGAGGAGGCTGCGGGACAGACCCTGCAGGTGCCATGGGTTGACTGCTGTGCCAGGCTAGGTGCAGGAGGTCACGGGACAGACCCAGCAGGTGTCATGTGTTTGACCTACTGAGACGACCGGTCGACACACCACCTGTGTCCCCTTTGCTATCCCAACGCACGCAGACACAAACACTCTGCGACGCCACGTACGTGCACGCTCCTTCACACACACAGAGCACATTAACTGGACATCAATGAAAAAGAGCTTCATAGCTCATCGGATTTCTCCAGTATAAATACATATTCTGACTCTGAGCCACGACCTCTGAGATTACCCCACACACCCCACACACACGCACCCGAGACCCCGAACCAGGGCCGCGATGCCGAACCCCGCGGCAGGGCCAGGGGACACTTGAAGGGTCCGTGGGGGCCCCGGGGTGGAGGAGGCGAAACGACGGCGCGGGCAGCAGCAGCAGCAGCAGGAGGAGAGGGCACGTGGTCTGACCAGCAGCAGCGGCAGCGGCGGCGGCAGGAGATGATGGAGCTGCCGGCAACGCAGGCCCAACGCAGCCATCGCTACCACGGCTGATGTCTCACCCACTGCCACTGCCCTGGGCTGAGTCGGGCTCAGTGGCGCCCTCTCATGCCCAGTCCGGATGATCTCACACAGAGGAAGCCTCCCACCCCACCATCCCCTTGAGAAACAGCTGGCAATTCGAAACTAATTAAATTCTTTATATTAAGTTCGCGTGCTTGCTTGCTTGCTTAGGACCGTGCAAATCTTTCGGTCGTTTTTTAACCCACTTCCCGTGATCCAATCGAGCTGATATTTTCCACACAGACTCGTTGTGCCAGACAATTATTGTTCGTGAAAAAATTTTTTACACTTTTTAGGCAAAAAAAATGTATTTTACATATATTCAAATAGAACGCATTCATGGCTTTGGCTGAACGTCAGAGTGTAGGAGCCCAGAGCGTAACCCCTCCACTGGCCGTGGCGGAGTAGCGCAGTTGGTAGCGCCCTTGCTTCCCATGCCAAAGGTCGCGGGATCGATCCCCGCGTCCTCCACAGGCGAATATATATTTTAAATCATTTATATTAAGTTCGCTGCCACGCATATAAAGGATTTATAGTGAAAAACTTTGTTTTTACGGGTTATACTTATTTACCAGGTTAAGGCCCACTGAGTTGTGTATCTTTTTTTTCAGAAGCGACCTGACCATCACAAACGATGAGCTCAACAAAGTTGAATTTAGAGTCCCATATTTTTGTTGTTATAAATATATTTGTTGTTATAAACGGGCACTAAATAAATATATAAAATGTAAAGTAAAGTAATTGTATTGTTTCATTTGCCATACAGCCAGATAAGACGACAAATCGCTAACCTTAAACACCCAGTCATTAATTAAACTTGAAGGCGGTATAGTACTATAGTAATAGAGGAAGTGCAGAACCACTGAAGCGGAATTGATAGCTTGAAAACATTTAGCGCGGGGCCCTTGAAAGTGCGGGACCCGTAGCGTATGCTACACCACACAAAAACAACAACAACAACACACTCGTCAATACTGACACCACACTAAGACAACAACAACAACCACAACAACACCACAACAACCACAACACCAACACCACCGAATGAGCGCGTGCTCGTGGAGGCGACGTCACGTGTCACGTCACGCCGCGTGACGTCGTCACCGGAACGGATCTCACATCAACTCCATATTACCCCTCTCACTCTCACACACACACACACCCGGCCGCCTTTGTCTCCCCTATTCCCCATCATCATCATCACCACCACAACAACCATCAACCACCACCACCACCTCCCACAGTCATCGTTGTTTTTATTTTAATTTCCCTCGCGTCGTCGCTGCCAGGAGACGCGGGGACCCTGCCGGGGCGTCTATGGCTGCCGGGGAGCCCTCGCTGCGGGCGGCAGGTGAACCAGGAGAGAGAGGGGGGCAGGTGGAGGCCCTGTCGGGGCCGCCGTGTAACACGGTGGTGGGTGGGGGGCAGCAGAGCAGGGAGGGTCCGGGAGAGGGCAGCGAGGCGACAGGGAGGGCAGCGAGACACGAGACGGGGAGTAGATAGGGCAGCGGGGAGAAGGGCAAGCGATACTATATGACGGCGGAGAGGATGGTCGGAGGGTGGCAGAGAGGATTGAGAGGGCAGCCGAGAAGACAGAAGGGCAGCAGATAGACGCAACGGTAGGGTAGGGGGCGGCAGAAGGGTAGGAGACGCAAGGTAAGGGAGGCAGGTGGAGGCCCTCACGCCGTCATTCGTGTGTTGAGGGGCAGCAGAGTGCAATAGATGACAAGGGCAGGGAGGCAGCAGGGCAGGGAGGAAGGAGACAGAGGAGGGTAGGGGTGCAGGTAGAGAAGTAGGGCCTGACGGGGGCTCATACAAGGGCAGCGGTGTGGAGGGCAGCAGGGAGGAGGGTAGGAAGGCAGAAGGGCAGGGTGACAGGTGAAGGAGGGCTTGACGGGGGTCTATCTTGCATATTAGGTGTGGGCAGCAAGGTAGAAGGACATCAGTAGAAGGGCAGCAGAGGGGAGTAGGGGGTTGGGGAGACAGGTGGAAGAAGACTTGACGATGCATCATCGCGCCCACAGCCAGCAGGAGGGCAGGGATAAGGGCAGCGAGATGGCGAGGCAGGGGGGGGGGGGGGCAGCAACACAGGGGGACAGAAGGCTGCCCTGTTGGGCCCCGTAGTGCACACGTAGGTGGGCAGCAGGACAGGGACACAGGAGGGCAGAGAGGTGGGAAGAGAGGCAGGAACAACAGGGAGGTGGGCAGCGGGGTAGGGAGGCGTGAGGGCAGGGGTAGAACAGGGCAGGGAAGCAAGGGAAAGAGAGTGCGATGGAGACAGAGGGAGACAAAGATAAACAAACAGGGAGACGGAGGCAAGCAGGCATGGAAAGGAGAGAGACAGGGAGGGAGTGAAGCCATTAGACAGGGAGGTACAGTGTTGGTTAGGGCCGGGCAGTCAAGGCATTCCTCGTGGAGCTGCTGAATCACATTTCTGAGTGACGGCTCCCAGTATTAAGCAGCCACCGCACACACCAAGCCCCTGTAAAAGGTCAATCATATTTACAATATTTACAATACTGTATGGGAACAGCTAAGCGCAGGCCAGAGTGCCCATACACACACCCTGCAGTTGTGAGATTTCAATCGGTGCGTTCTTGTCGCATGAGACACACACACACACGACATGTTAATTTGAATCAGCTTCTCGCCAACGTCACATGGATCATACCTCCACACGCACCCACAGTGGTGCACAGCACCAATAGCATGGCCCTCATGCACAGCACAGAGCATCAATGGGCTATGAAGCGTCGCCTGTCATTATCCTGTTTAAGACCACACACTGTTATTGACGAATGTGTCGAGTTCATTGTTATGTGCACGCACACAAGATCTCTCGCATCATCACGTGGGGCACACGTACACACACAAAGAGCTCCGTCTTCATTCGATCCGGCGATCTCTGTGTCACTTGTTTGCCAATCATCAGGCTCGTGCGGTGCACGTAACGACGCAGTGGCGCTTGAACAAAAGCGACAGATGAACGTGGGTTCGGTGAATACCGTGGCGGTTTTGCGAGGATTGCATTCGGGGAAAACTTGCCCGAGTCCCAGGGGCAAAACAGAAACCAATGCCACTTAGGGCGGATAAATGTTATCAGTACTTACGTGTTCATGTGGCACAACAAGTCAATCATGTGATTCATTTTAAAAGGTCATGGGACGCTTTAGGTATGTCCTTTGCTTATTTACAGACATGGTACTGAAAAGTGAAACTCTGGTATTGGCACATTGACTACCTGATCTTAATACGTTTATACTATTCTTGCGTATGTTGGTAATACGTTCAGGAGCTAAATACCAATGTCTGAGATCTACTAGCCACGAGAGGGATTCAGGAGAGAGGCGGTGATGTTTTGCTATTCCTCCGTTGAATGAGTGCCATACTACAGTAGTTTCATCATCATCATCGCGATCCATAGGCAAATAGCTCGTAGGTATCCACTGCGCATTTCGTTATTTGTTTCCACTTTCCTCTGCCTTGTGCCAATATGCTCAAGTCGTGGCCACGTCTTTCTGGCACCGATCTCTGATGTTGTCAAGCCATTCTCTGTTTCGGTCTTCCTCTCTTTCTGGTTCAGTGGTTTGCCACATGGCCAATGGTTTGGATTTCATGGCCACAATCACACTGTGGCTTGTCTTTGATTTTACACACATGCGCGAGATGTGTGCATTGGCCTGTCGGATGTTCTGATGGGATTGATGCTTACGCCTGTGTCTTCACGGAGGAATGTCAAAACCAGGAGGTGCAATGTTTGGGTCTCCAGTGAGGTGTTTATTCTGGACTGACGCGTTGGTCCACTCAGTTCGTCAATGCTCTTCCGGATCTGGGTGAAATTCTAGGATGGTGAGAGCACGATCCCAGAAGGGGGATCGAGACTTGAGTTGTCAGCGAGGGACATTGTCGAGGTCTTGGTTGATGGGGGAAGATTGTCATTGGCAGTTTTCACGTCTCTGCGGACACTGTTTGGTGCCAGGATGTTCGCCAGGACAGGATGCCAGGAGATTGGTGTCGGTTTCAGTGTTCCGGTTAGAATAGCACCTCTTAATTATAGAGGCCTCACGAGGTCATGTTAGTCATGGGGGGCTCTTGACCATACCTCACCATCACTGGTCAGTGCGTGTTGAAGAAAGGGTTTGTCGAGGACCGTTTCGGATATCGCTCCCACTAATTTTGACGGTGGCCCGGATTGTAATAATAATAATGGGTTTTACTGACCCAGGGGAGACTCACTGAGTCTCAAGGATCTTTTTTTTCCAGAAGGGTCCCACTACATTGGGATGTTTGGCCATGAATTCAATTCGTAATGAGGGTTTAGCTTTATGAGGGGGGTAACACTCAAAGCTCCACACGGATGTATTCAAGAATAAATTGCTGTACTGCCATCGACTGGCCAACTCGCAGTCCTTTACGGACCATACTGGGGCTCATTTGTAAAAGTAATATTCTAATCTAGTAGAGTTGTCTGACTATCAGGGAACAGTAGGCCAATTACCTTCTAGAAGGGGTTTCTAGAGCTCCCTCTAGTGGAGGCACTTCCTTCAGCAGTAGCATAAGCAGGCCTTCGCCTTTATCTTTTACATTTGCTGTTTGTGCCATTCTTACTGCAGAAGGCTATAATTAGTTTTACGGCAGTGACAAAACACACTGTGATTGCAGTGCATTACGGGTGACAGGATCACAGCTGTAATTGGCTCCAGGCCTGACTCAGACCGTGGTCAGGCTGTGTTTGGCTGGAGGTGGGCGGTCGGTGTGAGACGAATCTTTGTGTTGGTCCTCGCGAGGGTCCGGAGTCCGCGTGTGGGGCGTGCGTTTCGGTGTTTGTCGATCCGTGCCGTGCCGGGTCGTGACGGCTGATGACCTCCGCGCCTGCCAGCACCTGGGCACGACGGTTTGAGTCGGTGAGGCTTGCAAACGCGACGCTTTGTTTTAACTAATGATTGATTATTCGGGTTTGGCCGCTTAAGGATCTGGCCAAATTTTGGGTCGTAATTCCTCTAACCACCCGACATGGCCAAATGTATTAAATTGTCACATGCACAAGTGTTTAACGCAGGGGTGGGGAACGTCCAGCCCGCGGGCCGTGTAAGGCCCGCAAAATAATTTGGTGTGGCCCTGCCAAGGCAACCGCAGGTGGGACTCTAAATTAAATAAATCTTGGAGCAAACCTGAAAAGCAGTTGCGAGTAGCAACATCATCAATACCAGCTAACATCATATGCCTCATCAAAGAGAAGCAGTTCCAGCCATCACATTAGGGGTGAGTTAATTAAATGTTTGTCCAAATATAGCAGGCTAATTTTTAAGTTGATCATTTTGTGTGGCCCGCGAATGATGTTGTAGATATCCAAATGGCCCTTGACAGAAAAAAGGTTCCCCATCCCTGGTTTAACGCACCAGTTATTATTGTTTATGTTATATTGTCTGCGATAACCTGTGTGTCGTCTCCATATTTTTATGTTTATTTGTGCGTTTCTCAACCGTCAGAGCACTGCCGCTAGAAGGGATTTAGGAAGATGTGGCCGTATGCACGATATTCCAATCGTCCATGTGATCACCGGGTGGAGCCTGGCTAGTGCTTGGGTGGGTGATCACCATGCACGACAGGTTGTTATACTCTTTGGTTCTTTGGATAAAGTCACGTAGGTATAAAATAAAATAAATTAAATCACGACGTTTCGATTGCAACACAAGCAATTATCATCAGGTGGGAAAACCACAGCAAGAACATTTTTTTTGCTGAAGTGGAAGAGAGAAAATGTTGTTCTTGCTATGGTTTTTCCACCTGATGATTGCTTGTGTTGCAATCGGAACGTCGTGATTTATTTATTTTATTTTATACCTACGTGACTTTACCGAAATAACCAAAGAGTATGGATCCCTGCAGTCACGAAAATTCAAATCTAGGTTGTTATATACTGCGGGGTTGTGCTACGTTGTGGGCAGCAGAGGACATTTTGAGTTCCCCATGGCTCCCTCATTTCGCGACGTGACACCGATCGCGCAAAGGGAGATAATATTGCAGAAAAAGTTTCGAGCGTTTATTTTCAATCGACGAAATTTCCACGATGACCCCTTGACCCCTTTGACCTGCAGGCGACGAGCGCGCGGCGTTAGTGCGGTGCGCGAGGATTCGGTAAGAGTTGCGCCGATCGCCGGGCCCGCATGCCGACGGGCGCCGTCAGGATGAACGCGGAGGAGATGGAGCTGCTCAACGACCCTAAGTACCGCAGCTACGCAGCCACCCTTGACAAGGCGCTCAAGAGCTTCGAGTACAGCAGCGAGTGGGCCGATCTCATCTCCGCGCTGGGAAAGCTCAACAAGGTGGCGTGACGGAGGGGGGGTGGGGGAGAGTGGGAGGGGCGGCCTGCACCATTGTCTCCCAGCTGGGGGCGGCTGCTGGGTTGGCCAATCTGTAATACGGTGAAGTTTCGATTTTCCTGGGTAATAGTGGGGGGGGTAGTATTGGCGACCCGGATAAAATGAAAACAGCATTTGTTTAACGTGGCCCGACTCTGCTGATGAGACTCTTAAAGTTGAAACCGGTGTGGGTGGTGAATTGCTCTGTGCCTCCTGGTCAATGGGGCCTCGCCAGCTGAAATAATAAAGCCCGAGTCTGACCTAAGGGGGGTAATTTTGTTCACGAGAGGGAAGTCATATTACCATAATAGAATGCCCACCTCCGGCGGTATTGAAACAATACGTCGTCATTCTGACCCCCGGGGACAACATTTATGGCTTCGCCGAGAATGATGTCCGTGTGACCCCGCGGCAGGTGCTGCAGGGCAGCAGCAAGTACCCGGTTCTGCCGCGGAAGCTGACCATCGGCAAGCGGCTGGCGCAGTGCCTGCACCCGGCGCTGCCCAGCGGCGTGCACCTCAAGGCGCTGGAGACGTACGAGATTATCTTCCGCATCATCGGCAGCAAGCGCCTGGCGCGCGACCTCTTCCTCTACAGGTGGCGCGCCGCGTCACGCACGCACGCACTCGCGCACGCACAGTGCCAGGTTGTGTCAACCTAGGGGAGGCCCGGGCCGAGTCACAGATGTTCGATGTGAGTGGGAATAGAACTCGTGTCAGCCGTGCCACCGATCTCCGTAAATCGCACGAACTCTTTCTCTCTTCACCCCCTGTCCTCCCAGTGCGGGCCTCTTTCCGCTGCTGGCAAATGCGGCGATGTCGGTGAGGCCGGCGCTGCTGCAGCTCTACGAGACTTACTATGTGCCCCTCGGCAAGACGCTGAAGCCCGGCCTGCAGGGCCTCGTCACCGCCATCCTGCCCGGGCTGGAGGAGGGCTCCGAGTACTATGACCGGTGCGATGCAGTTGTTGTGGTTGTTGTGGTTATTTTGTCGTGGTTCTGTCCTTTAATTTGTCAGGAAATGAAGCAATGAACCAACATGTCATCTTTGGCAAGGGTGACCTAGATGGTTTAAGGCTGTGGTACCAAAGCTGTAACAAAACCGTACCACCGCTGCACCACAACCACACTACAGCCATACCACAGCCACACCACCATTGCACCACAGTCGTACCACAACCGTACCACAGCCGAACTGCAACTGTATCACAACCGTACCACAAAGATGCCACAATCGCACAGCAGCCACATCACAACCATACCACAATGATAGCACAAACACACCATGTGGGTTTATACAGCACCTCGGTGTGGGAGCTGACAACACAGGAGGCTGGAAGGATGGGAGTTCCAGACTTTGCGGGCAGCACAGCAGATTGAGTAACCTCCCACTGAGTGAAAGTCGATTGTGGGATTCATCAGAAAGCCTTGGTTGCCGAAGCAGAGAGTGCGTGGAGGGGAGTAGACTGAGATGAGACGGGAGATTTAGGAAGGGATGAGTCCATGCAAGATCCTGAAGACTGTGTGAGTCCGGCCCTGAAGTTGATGCGGGATCGGATTGGGAGGCGGTGGAGAGGTCCGGTCTAGGGGGTGACGTGGTCTCGTTTACTGGCGGGGGGAGTCTGGCGCCCGCGTTGCAGATTGCGTGGAGGTTGGAGGTGAGGGATTGGTGAAGGCCGTAGAGGAGAGGGAGCTGCAACAGTCGAGTCAACCGGGACGGTGGCTGCCACGGGCATGCATCCCCGCATTTCCGGCAAGGCTCCCAGCTTCACCGGCGATGCCTCGGGCCTGTGCCGGGCGGGCCTTAACCGAGCCTGTCGGCGCCTGCGTGCAGGAGTAACTGCCTGCTGGAGAAGACGTCGCTGGCGGTGGAGCCGTGCGTGTTCTTCAGCGCGCTCTGGGGCAGCGTGCTCACCAGCCCCGCGGTGCGGCTGCCCGCCGTCACCTACACGCTCACCCACCTCAACCGCAAGCTCTCCATGGAGGACCAGCTCCATGTCATTGGCACCGACGTCGATCTCATGGTTAGTGGGGGTGGGGGGCGGGGGGGGGGGTGGCGGCACGTCGGTTGTGGGAGGGCGGTGTGTTCGGGGGGTGGGGGCCGTGGTGGACTTGGGGGTGGTACTGTTCATTACAGGCCTAGAATGCCGCATGTGGCAAGCTCAATGACAGAGATCTGGGGAGAACACTGTGTGCGTGTGCGTGCGTCCGTGTGTGCGTGGGGAGCAGTGGTGTCGTGGTTAGTACACTGTTCTATGAGCCTGCCGACTCGAGTTTGATTCCTGCTCAAGACAAACACCTGTGACGATTATCTTAAGTGGTCCCGGGCCTCCCCTGGGTCGACTCAGCCTTAAATGAGTAGTCGGTGCGATATGTATAGAACATCAGCACTGGGGAGACAATTGTGGCCAGGCGTGGTGCTGGCTTACCCACCCCGTCGTGTGCCGTGCCGGCCTTCGTAGGTGATCGCTCGCAGCACTTGCCCCACTGGTCTGTTAAAGGCTATCCGGGGGATCTCTGTATGTGTTTGTGCGTGCGTGCGTGCAGGTGGAGGCGGTGTGCGCGTGCGTGCAGGACTCTAGCGTGCTGGTGCAGAGGAGCACCCTGGACCTCCTGCTCTTCTGCTTCCCCTTCCACCACAGCCAGGTTCGTATCCTCTCATCCCACCTGCGCGCGGTGTCCCTTCAAACAAAATCCCGCACGTCGTCGCGGCGACCCTCATCGCGAGGGCGACGACGTCAAGCGACGCTAACTGCGGACCTGAGCCCGCGTTCTCCTCCACGGGGTCGATGCCCAGCACCGTGGCTCCGATCCTGGCCAGGGGCTTTGCACAGCGCGACGGACGGTCGATGGAATCTGACCACTCGGCGACGTTACCGCGATCGCGCCCTCGGCGTCGCGTCGTCACGAGATGGAGAGTCCATACGGAAATCTCGTAAAGCAGTGCACGACCCTTGGTGTTATGGATCCCTTCTTCATGCGAACGCTGGTTTGCTCGGCATAGAGGGCCGCACTTTTGCCACGCGCCCCGTCACTGAGAGAAACGTTCGTGGCCTGGCAGTCAAATTGGTGTGTTTAATTCTCAGAGCTGGGATTTTAAGTGCGGAGGGTTTTTTTTTGTGCAGTCATCGGTGACCGGGCAGCGACCATCAGTCATTGCCGTGGTGCCGTACTGTGTGTTGTGGTGCGATGTGGTGCGATGCATTGATGTGGTGCGGTGTGTGGTGTGGCGCGCGTGGTCTGGCACGGTGCCGCGCTGCGCGTGCGACGCAGGTCACCAAGCTGGACACGGTGCGCCTGCTGTCGGCTGTGCTGCACGTTGTGCTGCGGCGTGACATGTCTCTCAACCGCCGCCTCTATGCCTGGCTCCTGGGTCCGCTCACACACACACACACAGACAAAGATCCCCCGTGTAGCCTTAACAGACTTTTGGGGCAAGTGATGTTAGCGAGCACCTATGAAGGCCGGCACGGCACACACACGCACATTGGCACATGGTGTGACAGCATTACCGTCCGTGACTGTTACCTATCAGTGAGAAGACAGCTGTCGGTCACAATCACTGGTTAGCTTCACTCACCACAGTTTGACTCATTGAGCCACAGTGTGACTCATTGAGCCACACACCCAGACAGGAGCAGTATTCATTTCCAATAACAGAAATAACAATCGTGCATACGCATGCCCCTCCCCTCCTTCCCGATTAGACGTCCATACTGAGATCGCGCACTTTTGCAGGAAATCGTTCACATTGATTAGAGATAATTTCAATGAAAACTAAATAGCGTGTTTGTCTGTGTCGCGGCCGCGTGTGTGTGCACGTGACCGTGTGTGTGTGTGCGTGACCGCGTGTGTGTGCGCGTGACCGTGTGTGTGTGTGTGCATGACCGCGTGTGTGTGTGTGCGCGCGTGATTGACTGCAGGGTTCGACAATAATGGCACTGCGTTGGGGCCCCGCATGGCGCGCGACGAGTCCCGTGAGGAACACGGGGCACGCTACTTCAGCACCTACTCCCGCGAGCTGCTTGTGCAGGTACATGCGTGTACGTGCGTGCGTGTGCGTGCGTGTGTGTGTACGTGCTTACGCTCATGTACACCAGGTTTATCAGTTGTTAATCTCACTATTTTGCAACCTTTGCTGATGACGTCTGCGGCGAATAGTAGAATCGGTGTGCGCACGTTTCACAGGCGGCACGAATGGAGCGCGGTTAACCCGTAAAGTGGGTGATCCATGCTGTTGTGTATGATTGTGTTGATGTGTGTGCGTCTGTATTTACGCCCATGCGTGTGTGCGCGTGTGTGCGCGTGCGTGCGTGCGTGCGCTCGCAGGCCATGGTCGGGATCCTAAAGGGCCGCGGCGGGGGCGGCTGCGGGGAGGAGGGCGGCTCCGTCTCCCCGGACCTGAGGCCGTTCCGCATCCTCCTGAGTCTGCTGGACAAACCTGAGATCGGTGAGGTCGGGCGCGTTCCCGTGGCCCGGGTGTTTCGCGCGTGCACGCGACGCGGTTCTCCGACGCCATCCGGGGTCGTACCCAGCGCATTGCTCAGCACGATTTGTCCCACGTTCCTCCCCGCGTGCTGCGAGCTTCTCCAGGAACGGTGGCGATTGTGGTGGTGGTTGTGGTGTCACTAGTTTGTGTTGTTGGTGGTTACGGCAAGTGGTGGTGACAATGATGGGTGGCGATAGTGGCGGTGGCGGTGGTGGTGGCAGTGGCGATGGTGGTGGTGGCGGCGGTGGTGATGGCGGTGGTGGTGGGGGCGGTGGTGGTGGGGGCGGTGGCAGTGGTGACAGTGGTGGCGGTGATGGTGGTGGTGGCGGTGGTGATGGTGGCGGCGGAGGTGATGGTGGTGACGGTGGTGATGGTGGTGGCGGTGCGGTGGTGCTGCGTGGACAGGCCCGGCGATCCTGGAGGAGGTGCTGGTGGAGGTGTTCCGTGCGCTCCACGGGCAGTGCGAGATGGAACTGGGCACCGGGATCCAGCCGCTCTTCAGCAAGGACCGTAGCCAGCTCAGCAGGTGCTGGCCCGCGTGGCGGCCTCACGACTACCCACAATGTACCGCAAATTAGCGACGGTAGCTCAACGGCAATTTAGCGTCTCAAGGCAGCTGCGTGTCACTCGCCAGAGATTCATCAACAACTCTGAAACGGAGCAACAGTGTACGAAACCGTCAGTCACTCGTAACAGCAACTCGCTGTCAACGCGCAGTCACCAACATTCATGTCTTACTCTTTGGTTCTTTCGGTAAAATCACGTAGGTATAAAATAAAATAAATTAAATCACAGCAAGAAACAATTGTTTTTTGCTGTGGTAATTTATTTTATTTTATACCTACGTGACTTTACCGAAAGAACCAAAGAGTATGGATCCCTGCAGTCACGAAAACTTCAAATCTAGATTCATGTCTTACATTATGAACCTATGGAGATTCACCGGCACTCACTGACAACACTCATCGAAGACACTCGCTGATGACACTCGCCAATAACACCCACCGACGGCACTCGCCGACATGCGGCGACAGATTTACCATCACACGCCGGCGATGCGCGGAGCCGCGCTCGTTGACGCGCGACCACGCGTGGATGCGTGCCACCGTCCGTGTCGTTCCGCACGTGCACCGACCCGCAGAGGGGACGGGCAGTGAAAGCGACAGCGTGGACTCTTGCGCGGCGCGGGGCGGTGCGGGCCGGCACAGGTGGCGACCGGGCGCGTTTACCTAGGGGATTAGCGCACCGCGAGCGTCCACGAGTGGCAGCAACGCCGCCAGGAGCTTAACGGTGGCGGTCGTAACGGGTGCGTGCCGCTGACGCGTAGAGGAGGAGGGCGGAGCTGGAGGCTCTTGTCACCGGGCTGCCGTGGCGAGCGTGTGCGTTACCTGCGCGCGTCGGCTCTTTGCACGCAGCAAGATGAGGGAGAACAAGCAGACGGCCGAGGTGGTGAAGACGGCCAACCTCCTCTTCAACTCGTTCGAGCCCTACTATCTGTGGGACTACCTGGCGCGCCTCTTCCAGAGCTGCTGCAGGTGCCGGCCAGAGCGCGGGCGAGACTGTGAGGTTGCGAGCGAGCGAGACTGTGAGGTTGCGAGCGAGCGAGACTGTGAGGTTGCGAGCGAGCGAGACTGTGAGGTTGCGAGCGAGCGAGACTGGGCGAGGGCGTGAGAGCGGTGGTGGTGAGCGAGGTCGTGAGAGTGGCGGTGTGCGTGTGTGTGTGCGAGTGGAGGCGAGTGAGATTGTGAGCGTGTGACGGTCGCCATCCCCAGTTCTTCACGAGAGCACGTGTGTAAATATGTATGTGGATACATACGAACGCGTGCGATCGCACTGCTCTTCTCCGTCGCGCTCGTGCTGCGGGTTTTGCGCAGCCGTCACTTTGTCGCTGATCGTCGTCGTCGTCGTCACTGCCACTCACCCCTACCACCGTGCGCCCCTGTGCCCGCTTGTTGCCGCGGCGATGGCAGGCGGTCCCGGCGCGGGGTGAGGAGGGCGCGGAGGCCGAGCGGCATGAGCGAGCAGGAGTTGACCGTGTGCGAGCTGTGCGTCCTGGCCGACTTCCTGCTCGACGTCGTCTCTCTGGTGGGGTCGCCGCTCCTTGCACGCACACGCGTGTGCTCACGCACGCACGTGCGCACGCGCGCACGACCCCGGGCGGCCACACGCAGTCACTCGCCAACAACACTCACAAGCCTGCGTGTTAAACTAACACTCGCCAGCACTCGCCAACACTCATGGTCACTCGCAGTCACGGGTACTCACAAGTACTCGCCACCCCTTGCAGCCAGATGAACACAGACGCACGCGCACACATGCATGCATGCACACACGCACAAAACAGAAGACACGCGCGCGTGCGTACGTATACGCGCGCGCGTATACATACATACACGCACGCGCGCGCGCACGCACGAAGGCACGGGCAGGTGATGTGTGCGTGTGTAGCGCGGCGCTTCATTCCTGGCAGAGCAGTAGCGGCAGCAGCAGCTCATGGCCGTGACCGCCTCGGTGGGTGGCAGGGACGAAAAGGTGCGAGCGTGTGTGTGTGTGTGTTGTCGAGCACGTGTGTGCGAGCAAGCGCGTGTGTGTGTGTTGTCGAGCGCGTGTGTACGAGCATGTGTGTGTGCGAGTGTGTGTGCGTTTCTGCGTGTGCGAGCGTGCGTGAGCGTGCTTGTCCATGTGTGTGTGCGCAGATGCATGCGTGTGAGTGTGTACCTGCTTGTGTGTATGTGCTTTTGTGCGTGATGGCTGCAGTAGGCGTGGCGGTTAGCGCGCTGCGCTACAAACTCGGTAACACGAGTTCAATTCCCGCTCATGGCCACCAATACCAGTGACAATTATCTGAACTGGTCCTGGGCCTCCCCTATCTTTGCCTTTGTGTGATTGTGTATGGATGTGTGCGAGTGTGAGAGGGCGTGCTTGCGTGTGTGTGTCTGCGCATCTACTATTGTGCGTTCATGCTTGAGTGCGTGCGTCCACCGATGCAATGCCAGCCTATGCACGTGCGCCCTTGCCGGGGTATCTACACGCGCACGTCTGTGTGTGCGCAAGCGCGGGTGCGCGTGTTACCATGTACGCGTGAGTACGTGTGCCCAGTGTGCGCGCGTGCAAGTGTGTATGCGCTCACGTGCGTGTGTGCTGGTATATATGTGCACGTGTCCACGCGTGTATGAGTGTGTTCATGCGTAACCCGCGTGTGCACGTTTCCGCACGCGAGCGTGCGCGTGTTCTTCGTGCGAACGTCCGTTCACGCGCGAGTGTTTGCGTGTGTGCAGGTGCGTGTGTGTTCCTGCGTGTGCGTGTGTGCATGCGCTTACGCGCGAGTGCGTGCGTGTGCGTGCGCGCTTGCGTGCCGTGGTGGCTGCCGCGGGGTTGTGGCCCGGCCCGCGCAGCGGTAGTGACCGATGCTTTGCGCACGTGTGTTTGGCCGTGTTCCAGCCGACACCGAGTCTGATGGCCGCGCTGTGTCAGGTAGGCCGTGCGTGCGTGTGCGCGTGCGGGCGCGTGTGCGTGCGTGTGCTCGCTCGCCATCTCTGCATGCAGCTTTCCACTGGGACGCCTCCAATCCGCAATCAGCTGGTGATTGCCAACACAGAAATTGTTTCTCCGTGATCCTCTTTCTGCAATCCTCGCGCGTGGTCTCTAAAATATTCTCGTTGCCCGCTACTAATCGCTGACCGATCCTTCCGTGTCGTTGATTTGTGTCCAATGAGGGGCGCCGCGGCGGACGCGTGTGGGACGGGCGTTGTTAACCTGGGGGCAGACGCTCGCACAACACCGACACGGCACTCATCCAGCAGTGGATCGGGACGATCATCGTCATTCTGCGGTTAGGATAGGCTCCGAGCGATGGGTATCGGACGAACTCTGAGGCAAGGGGGCGATGGTGTGAACATCAGGAACGTATCGCAGTCACAGGCTGAACAGGTGACGCGTCGTTACGACGGAAAGGAAGGGCGGGTGGATCCAGCAGTGGGTCGACAATGTTGCTGTCAAACGAAATAAATTGAGCGCCGAGCTGAGCGAGCGATTCGCGGGACGATCGTGTCGGTGTTGTGGGAGCGTCTGCCGTGTCTCCACGTCTCTTCGTGGCGGCTGGGGAGCGTGGAGCCGTTTCGGTTACTTGGGGGTCATTACGGTTACTCGGGGGTCACCGTGGTTACTAACCCTGGGGTCACGGCTGGAGGATGGATTTCTGACTGGCGGCTGTCGCGACGATGACGGCGCCGCCCGCATGGACGCTGGGCTCCGAGGTGCGAGGAGGAAGATTAACGACGGCTCGTCTTCATCACCGGCGGCATTATGGTTGTCACCATCATCGTTATAGTCATCGTTCATCGTCAAAATCCTTATCATCCGTATTGTCATTACCAACATCAGCTGTGCGGCCAAAATGATCATCTTCATTATCAGCAGCAGCAGCAGCAGTAGCCGCAGCATCAGCAGCACCTGCGATTAGCATGGTCGGCTATGTACGGTACGAAAGAAGTTCAACACACACACACATCGATCCATATTTGGGAACGGGTCGAGCAAGCGGACAGAAGGCCGCCGCCGTCTCGTGCTCCGGCTGAACGCTGTCGCCTCACCCTCACTCGAATCTCAGCTGGGCCACGGAGAGCTTGGCCCTCCCCCTCCGTAGGGTCTTGTAGAGGAGAGGGGACCGCCCGCCGGAACGCACGTTGGTTCACGTCGCACGCGTGTAGTTCACCTCACACGTGGCAGGGTTGAGCATTTGTCAGTCCCTGTAATGGCACTTGAGCCCATAAATGCATCACGAAGTACATGATGCCAATTATAATTATTTTGAAATGAGAATTGAACCCCAATAAATGATCGCTTAAATGCAATCTGCTGATTCCAATCCTATTGAAATGAGAATCGAGACTGAATGCATCACCAAGTGAATGTTTCTGGTTCCAATCCTATTGAAATGAGAGTTAAACTCAATCAATAATCACTTGTGTGCATTACATTGATTCCAATCCTATTGCAATGACAATTGAGCACACGAATGCACCACTAAGTGCATTGCGATGATTCTAATCCTTTCGAAATGAAAATTGAGACCAGGCAATCATCACCGTCACCACCATCACCACCCTCATCATTCCGGCGCCGTTCCTCGCGGGCATCGGAGAACGACGGCGCCCACCGCTGGTAACGGCGGCGGCGCCAGCGGCTCCGACTTAGTGAGGCTAACAAGCGCCGCGCGCTGCGCGTCTGCGGTCCCCCTTCCCAGGAGTCGTACATCGAGATCCAGACGGAGCACCTCCCGCGCCTGCTGCGCCGCCTCATCGGCTGCCTGACGCGCCACCTGGCGTCGCTCTCTCTCACCGAGCTCACCGACTCGCTGCGCCTCTGCTCCAAGATCCTGAGCCGCGTGCAGCCGCCGCTGGTCCCCGTGGCGACCGCCGCGATGCCGGTCGGCCCCGGCGAAGATCACCGTGCGACGGTTGGCGCGGCGACGGCCGAGCGGGAGGAGCCGTCGGAGGAGGGGAGGGAGGCGTCCGGGGGAGTGGGCGGCGACCCGGGCCCAGCGGTACGAGGCACGGTGGCGTCGCTGAACCGGAAGCGGGCTCACAAGTCCGGCGAGTTGATGGTCACAGCCTGGTCACCGATGGCTCGCACAGAGACCCATGGACTCGCTGTGCAATGCCGAGTGCAGCGCGTGCGCGAATGTGCTGCCCTCTGCTGTGTGGACTTTTAAGGCATCTGAGAAGTGGCTCTGTTGCTAACTTCTTCCACAAAGACCCCCCCCCCCCGTATAGCCTTTTGGGGCAAGTGCTTTTAGCAAGCGCTTATATGAAGCTCGGCACGGCACACGAGATGGTGGGTGGCCAGCACCACGCCCGACCGCATTTGTCTCCCCAGTGGCGATGTTTACACACCGCACCAGGTAATAATTTGAGGCCAAGTCGACCTAGGGGAGGCCCAGGACCGGTTAAAATATTCACTTTTATTGGTCGTGAGCGGGAATCGAACTCGGGTCCTCGGGCTCGTAGCACACTGCGCTGACCATTGCACCACCGCTCCCCGCAAACGCACGCACAGTCACACGCGTACCTGTCGGCCCCTCCCCCCGCCCCGCACAGCCCGCCGCAGGGCCCGCCCCGGCGAGAGGGCCCCCCGGCGGGAGCAGCTTCACGGAGTTCGTGCAGTACAGCGGCGGCAGGGGCGAGCATCCCGGCGCCGGCACGGGCTCGCGGGAACGGCAGGAGGGCGGCGCCCGGGAATCGCCGAAGGAATTGCGCGGCTGCTCCGACGGCGCCGGCTCCGGTTCGGAGCGCTCGCGATCGTCCTCCGAGTCTCCGCCGCCGGCACGCCGGCGCCCCGGAGACCCGGCCCGCCACGACGGCGCCCTGGCCGGGACGGGGGACGCCGACCCGGACGAAGACGAGGAGGAGGCGGAAGAGGAGGAGGTGGACGACGGGGGCGAGGAGGTGTACAAGGACAGCGATGACGACGAGGGCGACGAGGGCGAGCGGCGCCAGCAGCAGCGCAAGACGACGATGCAGCGGTGCTGCGAGCGCTTCCAGGAGTTCCTGACGCTCTTCTCGCGTCGCTACGTGCTGCGCAGCGACGGCGCCCCCGCGCAGTTCGTGCGCGACATCTCGCTGGGAGGGGCGCTGACCGGCGCCGGCGCCCTTGCGGTGTGGGGCAAGCGCAGCGGACGGACGGCGGACGGGGAGGCGGGAGGCGGGGGGCCGCGTGGGGAGGACGACGGGGGGAGCGACGGCACCGCCGCCGCCGCGGACGGCTTCTCGGAGGGCCACCTGGCGGCGCTGGCGGCGGCGTGCCAGCTGCTGCTCGAGTGCTCCAGCTTCCCCGTGTACGTGGCCGAGGGCAGCCCGGCCTCGCCGCACCGAGCGCTGCCCGCCGGCACAGGTTTGTCTGTCGGCGTGGCGCTCGTCGGCGCGATGGCGTTGGCGCGGTGGTGGTGACGTCGTCGTTCACGATGCGGTGCGACGCAGATTCATGATAGATTTTGGGATTAGGCCACTTCCTGATCTGGCCAGGGTTTTGTTCCCAAATCCATCTGGTGGAGGGTTTTACAACACAAATCTGGCCGGATCGTTAGGTGGCCTCACCCAAAAGTATTTTACGAGTACTAACATCGACTGGGAAAATCTATGCCTTGAGATGATGCGGAGCGTTCGTTGGCGTTCGCCACTGCATCGCGACGCCACCGATGCCATCGCTGTTGTGTCGTCGTCGTCGTCGTTACGTGCAGGCGACACGACGGGCGTCCTCCCCGAGTGGCTGCAGACCCTCCTGGCCTGCTGCTGCTACGGCTGCGGCGGCGGCGGCGGCTCTGACGCAGGCCTGAGCGGCAGCGAGGCGTTCCCCGTGCGCGGCACGGCCATCGCCTGCTTCCTGGACCTGCTGCACCTGGCGCGCTCCGTCTCCGCGGTGGCGGTCTCCTCGCCGCAGCAGCAGCTGCAGCAGCAGCAGGCGACGATGGCGTACCCAAGCCCGGCGAGCCCCGGGCGCGTCGCCGTGGTGATCGTGCCGCCGCTCACCGACGCTCACCTACGCTACCTGGCGGAGAAGACTCGCTTCTTTCAGGTGTGTGTCCGCGCGGTGACTGCGCGGTGCGGCGCTGTGCGGCCGTGGTACAGAACAGTTGGAGTACGAGGCGGTGTAATTCAATACAGCTTTGAGATGTATACAGCTATAATACAGTGCAGCCGAATTCAACGTGGGTGCAACACAAAGTCGGCCGGACTTGAGTTAGCCAGATTTTTGGGTCTGCTGGAAGGCTTCCCAATTATAAATTTAAAAAGCCAAATCAGAACGCTGGTCATGGACTACGCAAGCTGCACGTGGTAAGAGGTGAGGGGTGAGGGGCGGGGCGTGGGGTGAGGAGGCTCGTGAAGGACGCTACTGCTGGGCAGTTGGAGGCAGTCGCCTTCCAGCAACAACGGAGGGCGGTGGAGCGACGCTCACAACAACGAGCGGAGCGCCGGGCGGCTAAAACACAGCCGCCGCGGTCCCAGCTCAACTCCCGTCCGCTCGTGTCGCGCGTTGCGGGCAGATGGTGGCGGCGATCCTGTGGGCCCAGCTGGGCGAGGGCGGAGGGGGGCGGCACCACCGGCGCTGCGTGGAGCTGCTGCAGCAGCTGCACGGGCTGGCGCCCGGCCCCTCGGTGTGCGAAGACGTGGTGTCCCGCGACCTCGCGTCCCGCGTGCCGGTGAGACCCCCGTCTCCTGCAGGCCCCTTGGGCCTTCCCCGTGGACCCTTCTGTTGATCCACTCTGCCGGACGTTATCCACGCCTCTCGATTCCTTCCGTAAGCTCAGTTGCTGCTCCCCGACTAGCCGTGCCCTCTTCTCCAGAGTCCGTCGGCTCTCCCCTGTTGGCACTGTTCGTTGAGGTAGGCTGGGCTCATCTGCTGGTCTAATCTGTTTTCCCAAAGTGTCTGTGCTTGTATGTATGTATGTACTATGTTGAACGTCTTTCGCGCCGTACGTAGCCAACCGTGCTAATCGTAGGTGTATCTGTGCATGTGCGTGCACTCCCTGTGTGTACATGCGTTAAAGCGTGTGCGTGTTTGTACCCACACGTGCCTGCTTGTGTTTGTGTGCGCGTGCCCTCGTGTGTGCGTGTTTGCTTACCTGTGCGCATGTGCGTAGGCGACGCGCGTGGAGGCGTACAGGAAGTTTGCTCTGCTCTGGCACCTGACGCGCGACCTCCAGCAGAGCAAGAACTGGGCCTTCACGCGCACCTTCGACAGGTACGCACCTCATCGATCCGAGATCGTTGGCAGCTCTCGCGGGTCTCACGATGCAACGGTCGCATTGTTGTATATGTTGGGTATGAAAATTTGTTATGTTGTATGCGTGCGTGGGTGAAATTATTATGTTGTATATGTGGGTTATGAATATTCAGTGGAAATAATAATAATTAAATGAAATTTGGCCAAATGTGTAATTATCCGGAAATATGTTAATTTATGTAATTACGCACATTTTAATTATGCCAATTCGAGAGGTAATCGTATTAATTATGCGAGTGGGTGTAATTATGATAACGCAAGTCGTTATGATAACCAGACCCCGGTTCACCCCGTTATCGCTTTAACATTTACTGAGTATGTATTAGTGTGTTTATTAAGGTCACCAAGTTCAAATCTCAACGCAGAAGCAGATCTTATGCATAGATTTCAGGAAAGAATCACACAACCACTTCTGTATTGATCAATTTATTACTAATTCAACCTTAACTATGATATAGTATGCGAACTCTCAATCCCGGAACGTCAATACGGCATCAATACAGTATCATCAACGATTGTCTGATTTCACTTTGACAACGGCACATGGATCCCGCATAACGCGATGGTTCTTAGTGAGAGAGAGAGTCGTTAAAACATGCAAATATTATGCTAAGAAAACCTTAACGTTAATGAATGATTATACTCAATATTGTTCACGCAGTACCGCACTCCTTATTGATCATACGCAACCCTTATCACGTTGTTAACACCTTGGGTCACGGAACAGTTGAATATTCTGTAGAGGATGCGAGTACGTGCGGCGATTATGACTGAAAGATACTTGAAAGATTATACGGCGATAAAAAAAACACAATCAAAAACAGTTATTATTCTTAAAGGCACCAATCTCAACAGATACATCGGCAGGTTATCTCAGAACGGCTCGGAGTAAGGGCCTGCGACGGTGCTCCTTTTCCGAAGATCGTTATCTTATACCAAGTTTACTAATTGGGGACCAGATCACCTGATAAGGATCCGGTGGGCCACCACTCCCCACGTGAGCGTGGCTCGGCGGAAGGAGGTGCCAAGAATCAGTTCGTATTGATGGATCTGTTGGGAATTTATGCGATTAAGAGTACAGCCCACTAAATATTAAAGATAAAAATTAAGAATACTCTTATAAACGACGGAGGGCCATCCCTCGGTCTCGTTGTGATGCTTTCCAGCCACGGATGGCTTATGGGTTCGAGTGTTTTTGAGTGGTAAGAGTTGTCTTGAATAGTCAGTGTTCGGAGTCGATTCTTTAGGTCAAACAGACGCCTGGTGGTCGTGTGGTGAGGGGGCGGTGCGCGTCATACGTATCAGTCGATCCCGTGGCGAATTGGTTCGGATGGCTGTTGATACGCTGTCGCAGTTCGGAACCCGGTCGGTAGGTGGCGCCCACAACTCGCTCGTAGCGTGCAGCTCTGGGTTGTCGCCGATCCGCGATGCTCACCACTCCGGTGGCAGCAGAGACCCCCGATTCGGCAGAGGTTGACGAGCTGAAGATGAGTCGAGCCGACCCGCTGGTCGCAGCTCGCTCCTGAGTCGACCCTCCCGGTCGAGCTCGCTCCTGGGTCGACCCGCTGGTCGCCCTCGCTCCTGAGTCGACTCTCTGGTCGCACTCCTGAGTGGACCCACTGGTCGCACTCCTCCTGAGCCGACTCCCCCGGTCGCGCTCCTGAGTGGACCCTCTCGTCACACTCGTTCCTGAGTCGACCCTCCCGGTCGAGCTTCTGAGTGGACCCTCCCGTCGCACTGGTTCCAATGCTCAGGATCCTTTACTTTATGCCGAAAAATCCCCCTGGATCCCGCCCACAAGGCGGGGCTTCTTTCGATTTTTGCTGTGTCAGGATCTGTCCGTAGGCAGGTGTGTCCATGTGTCTGTCCGTATGTCCGTGTGTCCTTGTGTGCATCACTGACGGTATATTCGTTGTCACACTCCCTCCATAAAACCCACGAGCAAACAATCAGATGTTACAAATTGCCTCGAAGTCGTCTCTCTGTCTGGGTGCAATATTATCTCTTGTCTGGCCTTCTTCATGACCCAAAACACAGACGTTACAAATCGTCTCATAGGCGTCTTTGTTCGTGTTGCACAACCTGGAGGGAGGGGCAACACTCTCTCCGACCCGGCGCACAAAGAAATGGTTAAAAAGTTTTAAGTTAACATTTGTCCCTTACTATTTCACAGTTATGATTCTGTATGTAACCTAAGGTCTGTCGTTTCCCATCGTGGTTCCCGACCCAAGTGTAGGTGTTTCCCCGAGCGTACACACACTCCTATCCCGCGCTGCGGGGATACAAAGACGGCCGGGATCTCCCTTTCTCTCCGACCCTGGGTTTAACATCGTTTTTTTTTATTATGTATTATATTCGACCTGGTGGTGATTCATCCCGTTATCCTGGCTTTTCCATAAGTTTTACTTTGTCTTTTCATGCATATACTTATTACTATTAATTTATTTCCGATATCTTAGGTTAAGGGGTAAGTTTCTTGATCCTAGGAATTCGTATTCCTTGGTGCCTGGATGGTTATATAAGCGGAATATAGTTTACGGTGAATAGCGTTAACATTGATGTTATGTGCGATATTATGTATTGTGATGTCTTTAACTTAACTTGTTTGTCAGGGCTTTACTGACACGAAGTTGCATTCCATAGCCCGCAGTCTTTGCCCCACCCTATCTCTGCTCGCCGTTGTTGTTGCCTGCCGTTAATTCAAGGCCTCATTAATTTCCGTCACTCCTGAGTAGGTGAGGGCGGTTGAACCTTGGAGTCAGTTCTGGTTTTTGTCTGCCTGCTTCTTCTTGTGTCCCCTGACCCCGGGAGTTATTATTCTACTTTATGGCCTGTCGAAGCCCCACTCGCTGTTGCTGGGCTGGTGTTGTTCCCGGCTTTTTGCTTACGTTTGCAGTTCGCCGTGCTCTTGATTTCCTTCCCTCTTCAACCTTATATTGACTATTCGCTCCTGTCTGGGTGCGATTCAATTTTGACTTAGGAAGGTTCTGATTGTCATATGCTTCGGGTCGAATTGTATAGAAAGTATTGAAGTATGGAAATAACATTTCATATTGACTTAATAATGGTGATGGTTCAGTAGGCGTAACTTGTGGCCTGGTTTAATTGGAGTGGGTGTGAATATCGATAACTTTAGCCTACCCTGTTGTTAAATTCCGACTTTAACGTTACTTTAATAGCAATACAGAATAATTGAGCTTTTTGTCTTAACTAGGCGAATGCGAACTTCTGGTGACCCCGCAGCCTTGTTGTTCAGCTGGGTCTGCCTCCTTGAGAGATATACACCACTCTTATTCTCGTCTCACTGTGGTCATCCAACCTTCTGCTCTGGGAGTGTTATTCTTACTTTCAGGTCAAAGGCCCCCTCACGTTCAGACGTGCAGGGTTGTTTACATCAGCTCCCCCCCTGTGCACGTGTTCTAACTAGCTCGGAATCCCTGAACACACAATCAGTGATGATTCCTGGCTTTCTGTGGTTGTGATTTAGACAAAGGCGCCTCTGTTTCTTCCATTGCCTTTGAGTCGACACTGCCCTATTATTTGCCCATGTGCTGAGGTCATAGAATTCGTTTTGACTTCAGTAATATTAACATTCAGTATTGGATTAGCAAATGGGCAATGGTTCATTGATGTAGCTCGCAGCCTGGTCTCCAATTTGAGCGAGCGCGAGGATCGATAATTTAGCCTACTCTGTTGTTGAATTTCGAATTTTGACGTTACTTTAAAACCATGCAGGATGGTTGGGCTTTTTGCCTTAACTATGTCTGGCTGACACTCCCACTGTCTCTGCCGCCTGCACGGGTGACATGTGCCCGTTCATCAGGCCTTATCTTTCCTTGAAGCAAGGTTGCAAATTCTGCCATCCTAGCCCTCCTCCAGTTCATTACTTAACAACACCTGGTGTTTTGCAGTTTGCTGCGCTTTGGTGTGTTTCATTCATTAAAAAAACAAGTAAAAAGATAATATATAAAAATCATCAAATATTATTAATCTCAATTATGGAAGAAGGGTTAGGATACAACATACCGCCCTTTTAAAAATGACCAGTGGTCAAATGGCCACGGGTTATTTTTAAAAAAAATGTATACCCTTCTTCCATCATGAACCATCGATTGTCCTCAAGTTTTGCTGCTATTCCTTACAACGCGCGCGTACGTGTCACAACTTAACATGGTTATTTGAATTGAGCAAAGAAAATTAAACAAGCGTTAAACATCGATATTGCGTTACATCGGTTCTGATACATCATGACTCCGACGAATATTCATTTTTGTTTTTGTTAAATCCTGGGAAACGCTAGGTAGCGGTTTCGAACGCATTTATGCGTTACCTTCCTCATGTTGCCTCGTTCACCACTTATCACTTCGATAATTCGATCACGGTTTTCGGGTTCGTTTTTGTAGTTTCCTCTCTGACTCTCTGTGTCGTGGGAGTGTGTGGTGAAAAATTGTGCTGCACATAACCAGAATTCGCGCACACGACCCACTTTGACACTTGGTTCGAGGCATTCGCTCTCTCTGCGATTACATGCACATTTGCCGAGTCAGTGTGTCGATTTAATTCTGTCCCTCGTAATGTTGCCCTCTTTGTTTTTACTAGTGTGTTGGATTTCAACACCATTCCCGGTACGTCATGGACATTCGTCTCCATTTTAGCACTCCGATCCACATAATTTTTGGTTTCCCTTGGATATTTTCCATTCAAAGGCTCATGCCTGCGCTCCTCAGGGCGTGTCCCTGCTGTCTGTTTTTGTACTGTCCGATCACGCTTCAATGCAACCCTGTCCTTGTATTCGATCCGCGCGTCATTTACGGGAGCACTGTCCACGTTTTTGCCCGCCCTGTCACTTGCAGCCTGCCTGTATTTCACATTGAGCGCCGGGTTTAACACCTCGGCGGGTGTGGCGCGTATGGGCTGCCCGCTCTCAATCACTGTGGATGGTTCATCACGTATTTGGA